CCCATCTTCAATTCGTATATGGAACAACTTGCCCCTTAACATCAGGAATTAACCAAAATATGATAAACAAGATCAACAAGGAAAGGCGGCGTTCAATGAACGCAACCCCCATATGACCCAGCAACAAGAACCAATGGCAAGGAGCCCAGGCGGGCCCCGAACAAAAACAGGACAGGGCAAAGACAGAGCACGGACAGGTTAATCATTAAGTGATAAATAATTTGGAACTGATTAGGAATTCAAAGAAAATAATAATAGGCCCACAAAGGGGAAGGGGATAGGAGACCGGGGGAAGGGGGGGGGGGGTAATTAAAGAAATAAAAACTAGAGGCAATGGGGAAGATACTTACCGTAGACGAGAAAACAACAAGGGACACAAGCAAAAGTGTCACCAAAACAGTATGAAACAACATAGACATACATCTGAGGAACACAGTGGGGCGCCGCCTTGGAACGGTCAGCAGCATAATAATGACTGCTGGGGAGTTTAAACCGGTTAATGGTGCACCAAACCTCGCTCTTAGCCCCACCATGTTCCTATAAACGAGACAGTGTAAATAAAATGAATCCCCGCCAAGTGAAATTCTAACAGTTGTCATGGTTACAAAAGGTTAAATAAGTAAAACACTAAAATGATCATGTAGAAACATATAAAGTAAACCCAATGACCATAACAAAAGTACTCAATGTCCTAAAGGAAGACAGAGCAACAAGAAAATCACTTACAAGGGCCCGACGAAGCAAGGCAGAAGACGAACATTAAGACAATTCAGTCCCAAAAGGCTTTACGAACTATCCATCATAGAGTCTCCCACTTGGTCCGTCAGATGCAATCAAAAGAGGAAAGCGTAGTGTCCAACTGTAAAAGGGTTGAACACTAAACATGCAGTATGTCTTAAAATAGTAGGGTCATAACCTCTTTTAATAAAAACGTTTAATGATTTTAGTAAAACAGCAGAAAAATTACCATGACCCAAAATCTTACGAAGTTTGTAAATCACATCGCCATAAAAAACCAGGCTGGCTAATCCTTGTCGCAGAAGAGTTTTTAAATCACTATTGAATTTAGAAATTAAATCAAAAGTTACGATTGTAAAATTTAGTAAAATATTTCCGTAATTTATGATAGCGGTAGCCCTGTTTCAGAAGCTTGCTGGTAATAAAAATATTCCGCTCGTTGAAATCCTTTACGTTGGTACAAGCTCTAGCGAATCTAAGTTAACTGAGAAACATAAACCCGTAAGATGTTGCATGGGGTACGTCTCCATCTAAATGTGGATAATTAACTATACAAAAGTCAAAGTCATCTCTTTTTATCATAGATTTTCGTGTGAATAGAATTGCTGTGTTGATAGTAATATGCAGATCCAAAAATGATGTACTAAAATTTCAAGAGTTCGTTTTATTAAGTTGTAGTTCATGCGGATAAATGTCAGACACCATTTGATCAAAATAAGGATTATCTAAATTAAAATATCATCAAGGTATCTGAAAGTATTATTAAAAGCGACAAACATCTTGTTGTTTATCTTCAGAGAGACTCAACATAAAGTCTCTTTTCATAGCAGTACAAAAACAAATCGGCGACCAGGGGTGCACAATTAGTACCCATAGGAATTCCTATGATCTGTTTAAATAGGGTATGTACCAAACCTGACATAAATGTTGTCTAAAAGAAAAGAGAGTGCTCTACAAACTTCGTCACAGGTCCACCCACATAGTATAATGTTTAACAATACCGTTTGTAAAAAAAGCTTTGTTAGAATTACATGCTAGAAAGGTAACTTTTTCCCGTGCAAAAGTTTTCTGAATTAGGGAAATTAGTTTATCATTGATTAATTTATATGGCAAAGTTGTATAAAGTGTAGAAAAATCGTATGTACTGATAGTTGAAGCTTGAAAGTTCTTAATTTTAAATTTATCCAAGATTTCACCAGGATTTTTAATTGACCAAAAGAGATGTTTGCATGTGTTTTCATAGACTTTATCACAATATCTAATTACATGTGTTTTAATGGCAGTCAAACAAGACGTCAATAAAATAGAAAGTTTACTCGTAGTGCAAGATGTAGAATTAGCAATGAATCTGGCTTTGTAAGTTTTTTCAATGTTTAAAAATTATCTATCACGTGATAAGAAAACTACACCAAAATTCTTTTATTTTGGTGATAGAAAACTTATAATTCTTCATACCATGTTTCGCACAAAATGTAGCTCCCTAAATTATCATTTGTTTCTTAAAAATATATCACCATCGCCATTATGTGAGTGTTGTCAAATGGAAACTAACTCTCATTACTTCTTTAAATGCAGTCACTTTCGTACATATAGAGAAAAAATATTGGGAAATCTAAATAATTTCAATATTACCCTCAACACCATACTTTTGGCAACCCGGACATCTCAGACACTGATAATTTACCAAAATCTTTAAACATGTTCATACTTTTATCTCAGAATCAAAGCAATTTATCTGAACTTAAAGTGAAACAGTGAAGCAATCTTTCTTTTCTCTTTCTTTCTTTTTTCTTTCTTTTTTCTTCCTATTGTATTATTTGTTTTCCTTTCTTCTTTTTTCGTTAGTATAATTTCCTATTCTTTTCCCGATGATTACTTATAAATAAAACGTTTACTTCGTCACAACTATTTACATTCCACTTTTTTGAAAATTGTACAAAATATTATAAAATCGACACATTATAAAGTTACACTAAAAGAATAAGAATTTTATAAGACTTAGTCTTTCATTCTCATCCTTTTCTTCTGAGCCACTCTCAGACTCTCGGGATTTTTGGTAACAGAGGTTATATTTACATTTTTGACTTTTAGGTACGCTCCAGAGTCAAGAAAATTGGTCTGCGACTGACTCTGGCACTGTCACAGACTTTCATGAATTTGATGCCAATGCAGATTATGATATTTTTACTTCTAATGACTCTCCAGAATTAATTTAATTGGTCTGCGTATGATTCTGACATTGCCGCTAAGTTTAAGAATTTTTTGGTACCAAAGCAGATAATGACATTGTTGACTTCTGGGGACCTTCTATAGTCTTTTTAACTGGTCTACGAATGATTCTGAGGCACTCGCAGACTGTCAGGCATTTCGGTACCAAAGCAGATAATAATATATTTTACATCTGTGGACCTTCTAGAGTCAATTTATAGGTCTGTGACTGTTTCTGATGTAGTCGCAGACTTTCAGGAATCGCTTGGTGTCAATGTAGATGATATTTTTGCTTTCTAGGCTATCTAAAATCCATTTCAGTGGTCTGCGACTGTTTCTAAGGTATTCGCAGACTTTCAGGAAGTTTTGGTGTCAATGCAGATAATGATAATTTTGCTTTCTAAGGACTCTTTAGAATCCGTTTTATTGGTTTGCGAAAGATTATGGGGCACTCGCAGTTTTTCATGAATCTTGGTGCCATTCCACGCATGCAAAAGTGGATAAACAAAGCTCAACCGACCGTAGATGTTACTATCTTATCATCTACGTTTCCACAAAAATGTTTCCTCAAAATGTTTCCTTAAAATGTTTCCTCAAAAATGTTTCCACAAAAATGTTTCCTCATCAAAATGTTTCCTAAAATGTTTCCTCGTCATAATGTTTCCTCGTCAAAATGTTTCCTCAAAATGTTTCCTAACTCTCGTAGCGACCTCATTTTGGCTCTACTGGTAAACGCCTAGTACCCCTCGGGGTACATGCTATTTGCATAAAGAACGAAAATTGGAAGCCTTGGAAAGCTACACGAAGTCGAATATACATAGGTCTATCTTAAGAGTATCGTCAGCTTGTGAAATTAATCACTGATGCAATCTCATAGGCGTAAGAGATTTAATATGATGGTCAGGCTTAACCTAGATTGAGAAATGTCTATTTAAAGCGGCAAATGGAATAAACAAAAAAATGAAGGGAAACTATCCAGCGATTGGTACAAAACAAACGATACGAGTCTCTTTTTTACGTGAATACATATACGCGCAAACGCATGATAGTCATTGTATCAAAACGTAGTTATATTTGCTCAACACAGGGAGGGTTTTTTTGCTTCATGCAGGAGTTTTTTGCTCAACGGAGGTGTCCCCCCCCCCTGTAATTTTAAAAAACGGAACAAAATTTCGGGTTTCGTCTTTCATGTTTCTTTCAACGTTTTAATAATTTCCCTCCATCAAACCCAATAAAACAATAGTTTTCAGATAGGCCCTCTTTTAGTGTGTTATATGATTGGATGTATAAAAAAAAGTTTATCTTTTACAGGCAGTGCAGTGAAATATCGAATACGGCTTAGTTGAGTGATGAACTAATTTATTTTTTAACCTGACTGCTTTTGTACGTTGTATATTTGTCCAATTATAAACAAATATCGCACAATAAGGAGTCCAATATTATTTAAACATTAAACCTTGGCAAAAATCTTAAAAAAACGATCAGTTTAACGCAGTAAAAGGTTGTTAAAACCCGAATGAATCCCTAAGTGGTGTCATGTGATCAAAATAATGTTTTGATAATTTCTCGTCGCACCTATTTCTTTCAATGTCAAACTCTTCTGCTCTGTAACTGAGTCTGAATTATAAAACATATCTATATAATTAAATGGCTTCTGGAAAAAAAACAATGATATGAAATGTCAAAAGGCCATACGAAAGGTTGGCATGATTGTTTCCCATTTTATACTTAAATCTTTGTTGATTTTAGTTTCTGTTTTGTGTGTTCAATTTCGTGATGGTTTAGCCCTAGGTTGAAAGCATATTGAGACAGCGACGATTAGTTTCATTTTAGTATGTTCACATTTTTTGTGATGGTTGAACCAAATGTGGATGACACCTAAGCACGCCGATAAGTTTTATTTATCTGTATTTATTGGTTCAAACTTTCACCCATTTTGGCCTCAAATTATATATGAAGTAGGATTTTATAAATTCCACTTTCCAGTACTACTTCTGTAAATGTGTTTATATATTATATAATTCAGGCTTTATTGGGAACATTTTATTTTGCAGCGCCAGTGTCATTTATGTCCAGTTTGAAAATTGGTGGCAAACACTCACTGTCCAGTAAGTTTTTTTCTGTTTTTATTGCATGCCCCCCTTCGAGGAAGAGGAGGTATACTGTTAAGCAAATTTCGGTCTGTCGTTCCGTCTGTATTTCGGTCTGTTCGTCGGTAGACCACATAGCTTCCGCTAATTATCTTGAAAACTATTTATCACAAAGTCTTCATATTTCACATACAGATAGGTCATAACTATTAGATGACCCCTATAAATTTTGGGGTCATTAAGTAAAAGGTTAAGTTCACATGGGCCTTAAATGTCATAATGGTTTCCGTTGATTAACTTGAAAACTATTTATCACAAAGTCTCCGTTTTCATATCGTGTTTGGTCATAACTATTAGATGACCCCTATTGATTTTGGGATCAATAGGACAAAGGACAAGCTCACAGGGTCCTTAAATGTCAGAATTGTTTCGCTCATTATCTTGGTTACTATTAATAACAATGAATGATCATAACTAGTAAATGATCCCTATTGATTTTTGGGTCACTAGGTCAAAGGTTAAGGTCACAGAGGCCTGAAATGTCAGAATGGTTTCCGCTTATCATCTTGAAAACTATTTATCACAAAGTCTTAATATTTCACATAGTGATTGGTTATTACTAGTAAATGAACCCTATTAATATTGGGGTATATATAGTCGTTAAGTCAAAGGTCACGAAGTCAAAGATCAAGTTCACAGGGGCCTTAAATGTCAGAATGGTTTCTACTGATTATCTTGGTTATTATTTATCAAAAGTCTTCATATTTCACATATTGAGTGGTTATTAATAGTAGATAATAGTAGATGACCCCTATTGATTTTCGGATTACAATGTCAAGGTTTCGGGCTTTAAGTGTAAGAATTTCTTGTTTTCATGTAGTTGATTGCATGTCAATGGCTCTTGCTAAGGGATAGAGCTATTATCTGATGTACAAATAAAAAAAAAGATTGGAACAAGAGGACCATGGCTAGTTAATGCAATCTAATTTTTAACGTGGCATACTACTAATTCAATTATGTGTTAAAGATATGTTTTTTTATTTTAGAAGACTCCATGGCAATCACGCCCTACCCCACTATAAGTTATAATCCTGCAATTTACGGAGTATTTCATTTTAATAACACGCTTTGCAAGGTTCTTTTCTTAATATGTAATTATTAGTTTCGATATTTGCCTTTCTTGAAAGATAAGAGTAATTACAAATGAGATTTGATTTAGAGTTACGCTTTTGAAATACATTTATAAGCAAATTGAGATATGAGTTTTACCATAGTATCTTCATTATCGTCAAATTTATCATCATCATCCTCTTTTTCATGTTTTCTGTATTTCATCATCATCATCATCATCATCATCACCATCATCATCATCATCATCATAGTTGCCCTCATCAACAGCATCATTATCATCAATATCATCTTATTCATCAGCAGCAATATCGTCATCATCGCTATTATCGGTATCAATTGCAGTTTTATAAATTTTTCCGCCATGATCATAATGATCATAATCATCAATATACTCATCATCGTTATTATAATTATATGAACAGTTACCGTGCACATCTTCATCTTCCTTATAATTACATTTCTACTTGATCGAACAGTGCCTTCGCTCAGAGTGAATCGAACGTGCTAATACACGAATTTGATAAACGAGGTGGCTATTATAGTGATGTGCTTATGGACTTGCCAACTGCAAAATCAGCAGGAAGCATCTTAAAATTGTCAATCCTTGCACAAGGTGAATCTCTGAAGGTAAACAGGTTTAGTTTGATTAAATGACGTTTTTCCATTAGAACACAATAAGCCTAGTTTGTTGTGTTATGCATAACTATGATATGTTTTCAATTTAACATAGATTTAACTAGAAATATTTTTGAGATGTTTGTACTATTTGTCCGGGGTAATTCGCAAAATATGTATTTTTTCTAGAAAAAAAAATTGTGAAAAATAAAATAAAAAATAAGAAAAGCAATTAAACGCTGTTAAAACACATATTGAGTTTAAATTCGAAATACAATAAATCGATTTTTAATTTGATTATATTTTTGATACAACTTTTTATGATTTTCTTTTAATTTTTGGTAAATGCTTTTTTGATATTTGTAAGAATGTGAAATCTATGTTTTCAAACTTCTGGATCTCCGTTGAGCTCCTTAAAAACTTTTTTTATTTAAACAAGAGGCCTTCTTAAGGCTGTCCTTATTTTATTGCTTTGTTATGGTAGTTTTATTTACATATTGTTCTCCTTTATAAAGTTGATATTATGTCTCACATATGCTTTAATGTTCATATTTTTTCAAATTTTAAACATAGTAGAATTAATATTTCGTGCATATTTTGTTCAAGCCTTTAATTTAAGCTGTCACAGCAGTGCAATCTGAAAGAGTCCAGTCAGTCTTTTTTACGATATTAAAAAGTAATAATTGTAATATAATCGGGTTGGACTTGAACACGGATGTTAAGACAGTTAAGATGGATAACTGGATGCAAGTTCAAGTTGTTTTGTCGTAATAATTTAGACCTTTGAAGAGCACGTCCGTCGAATCATCTCTGTAGGATTTTTTTTATTTCATGCATTTGTTGTTATTGTTGCTTTTGTCGTACTTGATTTAAGTGTTTTGTTTTTTTTTTTTTTGTGTGTTTTTTTTGTTGTTGTTTTTTTTTTTTTGGTATGATTTTTTATGTTGATAATAATGCTTGCTATACAAAATATTATTTCAGGTTATGTTGGACAACAAAGAAGTCTTCACACGCCGGTTGGAAATCATTAACACTAACAGCTTGCATCAATTTAGTGTGAAAATTTACCACAATCCTTTAGGAAAAACGGAACTCCTGTTTCATGGTTATTGTTTAAAAATCGAGTAATGTCTGAAAATAAAGCCGACAAGCACTCCCATTGGGCGGTGACGAGACTAGCCGATACATGTCAGATAATTACCGTATTCTATCATATTTGAAACTCTTAACCACAATAAATCAATTTATATGGGAACCAATGTCATTGCTTCTGTACCTATTTTCTTACAATAACGAACAAACTAGAAATCAGATATATGTGCGAGGGATGAATTCAATTAAAATTTGCAAATTAAGATATTCGTATTAAAACATTAAATATTTACGCAGATGTGTACATACGCGGTCATTATGGTACTTTTAATATGTCACGTGTGTGTCATTCTATGAAAAGCGACGTTTGATCCCTAAGTAAGAGAATGGATGTGCCCTAAACGAGAACACAATAGATGGAACATAAATAAAAAAATAAAATGGGCAACAGTGGTTGTGACGCTTGCATATCACAGATAAGACGTCAAAAGACAATTTAAAAAACATCAGGCAGAATATACTTAGGCTGAATATTAAGTATTTAAGTGGGAATAGGGAATATTGGAACAACCCAACTAGTTAAAACCCTAAAAGAAGAAATTTTTGTTAAAATTTAGTTTACTGTTTAGCATATTAAAAGATTTTCTACATACCTATACATTTTATTCCTTAATACATGCGAGTAGCAGCGCATAAAAGGATCACTGGTCATACAAACCGTATGTTAGTGACAATATGGAAGCACCTGACTGCTCTACTTTGGTAGTTTTCATCTTCCATTGGCTGAATGATGAGCTTCGTTGGTGAATGTTATTTTTTTTTAGTTTTTTATTTCCTTTGTTAAGCAAAATATAATGTATTACTAACTAACTAATTGTAATTTTCTAATTAAAAAAACAACAATTTTGTAACATACGTGATACGTGGTAGTGTACTGTATTTGTTTTTACGAATGTCGCACCATAGCCGACTTGTCTACGAGTTCTGTTGAATTACATGTATTTCGGAAATTGATTTTTATGTATAACTGCATTTTACCTTTACCTATTTTTGATGATCAGAAATACTGGTAAATATCAAAAGTACTGTTATATGTTTGTAGATTACAAATAGAGAAAAATTAGACTGAACATAGAATCAATGATTATTTTAAAGCCTGTCAATTTTCTTTCTTATACTTTGTTTCTGATAGATATATTTATTTGTATCTTATGTTTTACATGTACTCTTAGATAATGGCTGGGAAACAAGCATCAACTAAAACCGCCTCTGGCGTTCTTGTGTCGCATGATTGTTGAATTCATGCACAATATAAACGACTGACAAATGTATGCATAAGTTTTTGTATCTTTTAATAGTTAATGACCCTGCTTCAATAGAAAAACTATCAGTGTTTTAAACCTTCTTAGATATAACAGATAATATTTCAGTGTTAAAACCATGTGATGGTCTTATATATATACATCATCAATGGAGCAAATCTTATCTTTGCAGCCTCGTTTTCATTTTCTTTGTCACGAAGTACAAATCAAATGCATATTGTACCCCAAAATTACTGTCAATGTCATCATGACCAGTACCAATCCTCTTCCGTCTAGTTTCGATGTCATTGTTGAGAGTCAAAAAAATCCAATCAAATTCTTGTGCTTGAATTTACAAAGCTTTATCAAAATGTTGTAGTATGAAATAAAGGGGCCAATGTACATTGTTGAGAACAATAAAATCTTATTGGACTCAAACCTATATCAGGCCCGGCTAGTGTCTCGTCCGACACAGTTATGACAGGTATGTACTTGTCCAAAAGAAATCAGTTTTGTCCTTTACACTGTACTATGACCTCATTATAGCACACAACAGTATCAATCCTCTGAAGGAATAATCATAAGGCGAGAAAAAGGTGCAAACTGACCGATGCCTGAACCCATGACTCTTGGGAATATCGCAATCTTAGCTACTGGGATGCTAAAACATTTTTCTATTATTTATTAATAGTTTTATACCTTATTGAACATGTTGGAGGTGTCACAGATAATGATTCTGGCTGTATTTATTGTATGCTATTCAAAATGTTGCATGTCTGTTTTTCGTCATGTTATCACAAACATTGGTATGAAACGCGTTTCTATAGATTATTCAAATTCCAAACTGGATAGAAATTACACATTAAAATATTGTCACTCCTTTTAGTGTGTCAGCATAAATACAATAATAAGTCACCCTCAGTTGATGAACACATATCTGTCCGTTTTACGTGATACATATATTTACAATATTTATGTGAAAACTGGTAATACAATTACTGATTTTAAAATTTATGTCATGAATTTAAAAAAAAAATCCCCTGAAAATAAAGTTCTAAATCTTTTTTAGTAAGATATTTTTAAAAAAACTTTAAACCGAAAAGTTTTTGCTTTTCTTAGCTAAAAAAAGGGAAAAATGAAACATTTTTAGGGCCCTTTTGGGTTCGATTGTGATTTTTTTCCCCGGGAAAAAGGGAAAATTCAAAACAGAATTGTTTGGGTTTTTTTTAGGGACTTTGTGTTGATCTAAAATGAAAATTTGATTATTTTTTTGGATTTTTTCCCCAACTACAAAAGACAAATGCAATTGTCAACATGGGAAAAAAAAGAGCTCCCATAAGGATATCTTTGAAATTCGATGGCGATCAAAAACCTAACTTTTTTTGTACATTTACGTTAAAGGGAAAAAAATTAAAGAACAAAAAACAAAAACAACAAAAAACAACCCTACTACAAAAAAAAACAAAAGGGCCAAGATGGCCCCGGGGGGGGCGCTCACCTGTAACAATTAGAGGAGATGTCGTTTGAAAAGTGTGAACGGACAACGGACGACGGACGACGTACGACAGACGACGGACGAAGAGTGATCCTAATAGGTCAACCTGAGCATATGCTCAGGTGAGCTAAAAACAACCAACCCCCCAAAACAAAAACAACAACAAAACCCAAAACATCACCCAAAACATTGCATATCATCAAATAGAGATTATTATAATATTGAATTGTTGTCATCATTAATTTCTATTCGTGAATGTCTGCTTGTTTCTTTTCTCTCCATGAAATTTTCAGCAAAAGTCATTTCATGTATCACAATATATTATTTGTCTCTAATATCCTACTATTCCAGTTCAAACAAAAGGGATTTCTCCATAATGATAGTTCTCAATTTATAGTAGAATATCGGATACAAGTTAACATTCTTAAATATCATAGCTCGACCTCTATAGCTTTATTTCTTATCATGCCTAACTGTACAGGTCATCATTTTAGATGCGAGAAAAAGAAACGGGGACAGCAAACTTGATATTTGTTCTCAATATTTATGATATTACAGTTGAATGTTTCTTTTAGAAAATATATATAGTTACATAACATATAACTTAAGCATTTGTAACAATACCCTACAAAACATCGTATGAGGTCGCAGAAAAGGCAACCGAATAATTCGGAATATTGATAAACGTCAGTGTGGAGTCCAAAAATGTTAACAACATTAAAAATATTTGCCTGCAGCTCTTGTGATGATTTCATATTCCTCTATAATACCAACTTATGTAAAAGTGCATTATACATTATTTGTCGAATGAAAAATATATTTGAACATTGTTGTTGTTATTCTTGTTATTTTTCCAAAAGTAATACAACGATAGTAACATTGTACGTTTCTTCTTCAATGATACTTGTAAGTGTTGAAACTGATTTCTGCCCATTCGGGTTTTCGCCCCACGAGCCCGCCAAGCGAGAACTCGAGGATGAAAGAATCAAAATAGCCGGGCGCGACCCCGTGCCCCCTCCGCTTATAAGCGTGTTTTCGTTCCGAGACCCCGTCTTTCTAACTTGTTACTTCTCGAATTTTTACTTGGTGGGGTCGATGGGCGAAATGACGAAATGGCACAAATCAGCCACCATAACTAAGTCATACAAGGTATTATGTTAAATTAAAATGGTATATGAAAATGCATCACAAAGACTTTATTCCGTATATTACCTACGTTGACGTTTTGTAATCGTTGGCAAAGAGAGATTGGTTAATGATTATGCAATGTTTACAAGATACAATTTCATATGTATGTGACATATACTCAATATCCATTTACAACATTTACGAATAAGTAAGCGGTTGTATACAAAAACATAAGCAAGTTTAAGATCAACAAACAAGAAAATCGATCACTGAATGCAGTCAGTCCCCACAATGTTCGGACAGACATGCCTATAGAAAGTTATGCAGAGATGCATTTTTTACATGTAAAGTGCAGGAAAACAATCAAGGGTGTCGTTCACTACATTAAGCATGCTCACGGATTGATATTCCGCCAACATGCTCAATCGTTCTGGTGATGTAAAAACTAACAGTTTTCTTAATTATTTTCAAATGTGTGCTTACTAAACATCACTTATCAAATACAAAACTTTAACTTCAAAGGACAGTATCGATATATAAAGTTAAGTAAGTTACAATGCACCAACATTAAAAATTATAATGATATAAAAATGCAGACCATTTGATGGTATATACTTCTGTGTAATAATAATAGTGTTTGATTTATTCCATTTGTAGCATTGTTTAAGAAAATCAAGTCCGTTATAAAAATGGAACCTTGAAACAAATGCCGATAATTTAAGAATTGAAATTGATCTTTTCATTCTGTTTTACCGTGTAATAAAAACATATGATGTAATATACTAATATGAGATAATCAAACAAATATAGGAAGCAAACACTTTTATTGTGATTATCATAATTTATATATTATATAAATAGTCTTAAATCATGTATTACTGACAAATTTATTTTGGTATGTAATGAAAACACGAAAATCAATGAAGAAAGCACAGACTGTGCTAATGTTTTTATCATCATAAAATCTGAATGATTGACATCGTGCATGCCAAAGATATAACAATGAAGTATATGTTGTAATAAAATATGCTTCATGTGCTAACTAGACACATGCTTACAGGAAAGTTTATTCATGGTGATGAGTATTCTAGGAAATTGTGCTGGCTTTCAAATATCATATCGACCACTACATTTAAATGTATTATTATTCTAAAGAATAAACGTTTTAGGGCTATTCAAAAGTTAAATTGAAGTTAACTGTTACGGATATTAAAATTGGGTTTTAAAATGTGTGTATGCTATAAATTTGCGTTTTAGAAACTTCAAAATACGTCTCTATGTATTTTCATATATAAAAACCCCAACAGAATGTTAACATCCTATGTGTGTACTTTAGGTCACATTAATAAAAAATATATTTCTTTATAGTTTTGTATATCTTTTATCGTTTTATGTGCAAAAGCTGGTGTTCGTAAGAAATTGAACTTTTATGTTTCAAGACTCAGTGGGTTCCATGATATTGCATTTTTGTTTCATATACTAAAATTGTATATATACAAGTACTTTGAAGTAGGATCATACAAACAATTAATTACAATAATCTACAAAACGAAATTATAACAGATTATCATTTTGAACATGCAAATTGTCTTCGGCTGTACAGTTCATAAAATATCTCTATAAATAAAATGACCTCCGGGACAGGTCCAATATTGACCCAAGGGATATAATTTATATCAAAGATAGAAACGCTCAGTGGGCAATGCTACATGTGAAACATCTACGCTCAAGACATCGCAGTTTTACAAAGATTAAAATTTTAAGTTTTACAAAAAAGCTTAAAAGTAAGTGCTTATGCGAACGCTTCTAATTCGGAAGCTTTACTTATTCGAATGGAGCGTCCAGTCCCGATTTTATTCGTTTTGATTTAAATGGTAAAAAAATCTTTCGGATCCGGAACCTGTCTACTCCGAATATCGGACGATCTTTTCAATTTTTGTTCTTATTTTACACTAAAATTAACCTATTGGACCCGAACAGATTTTGCCAAATGTCACACCTACATTAAAAAAAAATAATCGCACATATTGCAGGTGTAAACGTACACCAAACTGCTAAGAATAATGTGTCTTGATTAATGGGTGAAACGTATGATCTGCAAACGTGAGAAAATTACACTTAGCTTACCTTGATAACTACTATAATTGCTTAACTGATTGTTTTTTTGTCACCTTCAATAAATATTTTGAGATAATGCAATACAAATAACTTTTAATCTTTTGTTATGAATTTAACGACATTGAAATAATAATATATATATCATATATATATATTCATGTATATATTTCAAAGGACTTCTTACATATGTACAAACTACAACATCGTTTGTAGAATATGTTCCAATATCGTGATTATGGTGTTACACCATTCAACCATTTAGTGTATGATACATTTAATATATTTAATAGATAACGATGTAAAAGATATAAACAAAGTGATCAGGCATGATGACAGATTTGTTTTATTGAATTGCATGTACAGGAACAAAGTAT